GAAGCACCAAAAGAAAGAGAGAGTAAGAAAGATATTATTTAAGGAAAGAAAGAAAGAAAGAAAGAAAGAAAGAAAGAAAGAATGGAAAATATAAAAATAAAGAGAGAGTAAGAAAGATATACGTAAAGAAAGAATGAAAGAAAGAATGAAGCACCAAAAGAAAGAGAGTAAGAAAGATATACGGAAAAAAAAGAAAGAAAGAAAGAAAAGAAAAGAAAAGAAAAAAAGAAAAATATGAAAAAGAAAGAGAGAGTAAGAAAGATATACGGAAGGAAAGAAAGAAAGAAAGAAAAGAAAGAAAAGAAAGAAAAGAAAGAAAGAAAAAGAAAGAATGAAGCACCAAAAGAAAGAGAGAGTAAGAAAGATATATTTGGAAGGGAAAGAAAGAAAGAAAGAAAGAAAAAAGAAAGAAAAGAAAGAAAGAATGAAGTACCAAAAGAAAGAGAGAGTAAGAAAGATAGAATGAAAGAAAGAAAGAAAAGAAAGAAAGAAAAGAAAGAATCTAATCTGCAGAAAGAAACACGAAAAGAAATATAGAGATCTATAAATATATACGGAAGAAAGAAAGAAAGAAAGAAAGAAAGAAAGAAAGAAATTAAAGAAAGAAAGAAAGAATGAAGACCCAAAGAAAAAGAGAGAGTCAGAAAATCCATACATCAGGAAAGAAAGAAATAAATAAAGAATCTAAAAAGAAAGAAAGAATTTTATAAAAAAAAGAGAGAGAGAAAGAAATATACAGAAGGAAAAGGAAAGAAAGAAAGAAAGAAAGAAAGAAAGAAAGAAAGAAAGAAAGAATGAAACACGAAAAGAAAGAGAGAGTAAGAAAGATATACGGAAAGAAAGAAAGAAAGAAAGAAAGAAAGAAAGAAAGAATGAAGCACCAAAAGAAAGTAAGAAAGATATACGAAAGAAGGAAAGAAACACGAAAAGAAAGAAAGAGTAAGAAAGATATATGAAAGGAAGTAAACATAAAAACCATGAATGAAAGAAAAAAATAAGAAAGAAAGAAGGAAGGAAAATAACTTAAAAGAGAGAGAAACGAACAGAACATTTTTAACAAAGAAAGAAGAACGAAAGAAAAAAAGCATTTATTAATAAAAGAAAAACGAAGGAAATTAAAAAAGACAGATTAAATAAAGCCAGACGGAAGAAAATAAAAAATATGTAAATTATGTTGCGTAATAATCTATGGATACATGATAAGTCATAAGAAAGAAAGAAAGAAAGAAAGAAAGAAAGAAAGAAAGAAAGAATGAGAGGAGTTCGTAGAGAATGAATGAGGATAACGCAACGTTATCAAAGAGTAAAACCTGAAAAATTAAAACAACAAAGATAAAGAGCGAACGAAAGAAAAAAGGCGGGAAAAAGAGAGCGAGGAAAAAGGAAAGCCAATGAAAAGAAAGAATTTCTGAAAATGATCGAAAGAAAGAAATTACAGAAAAAAGAAACTAAATGAAAAAGTTCCGAATGAAAAACAATTTACTAAAAAAGAAACAAATTTCTGAAAAAGTAAAAGAAAGGTAGAAAAAAAGAAATGAAAGATAAATTAGGAATGTAAAAGAATGTATGACGCAATATAAGTTTTTAAAAAATGAGAAAGAAAGAAAGAAAGAAAGAAAGAAAGAATGAAAACATAAAAAGAAACCATAAACAAATAAAAAGCTAAGACAGTTTAAAGAAAAAAGGAACTTATAGAAAGAAAGAAAGAAAGAAAGAAAGAAAGAAAGAAAGAAAAAAGAAAGAAAGAATGAATGAGTGAATGAAGCAAACAAACAGTACACCAAACGGAAAGAAACAACGGAAGAAACAAAGATAGAAAAGAAAAAGAAACAATGAAAGAAACAGAGAAAGAAAGCTCGAAAAGAACAACAAAAGAAACAACGAATGAAACAAAGAATTGGGAATTAAAAAGAATAAGTAAGAAAAACCGAAGGAATATATATATATATATAACAATGAAAGAAAGAAAACTTGTCAAACAGAAAGAAAGAAAAGACACACAAACGCGTTAATATAAATAAGAGAACAGATTCGACAAAAAGAAACAACGAAAGGAACAGCGATAGAAAGAAGGAAAGAAAAAGAATGAGAATGAAAGAAAGAAACAACGAAAGAACGAAATAAACAATGAAAAAAAACAAAGAAAGAACCAAAGAAATAAACAATGATACAAAGAAATTAACAAATAAAGAACAAAAAAGTAACACAGAAAGAAACAAAGAAAGAAACAACGAAAGAATCAAAGAAAGTAACATAATAAGAACCAAAGAAAGAAACAAAGAAAGAAACAATAAAAAAAACAAAGAAAAAAAAAAGAAAAAACAAATAAAGAAAACAAAAAAGAATCAAAAGAGTAACAAAATAAGAACCAAAGAAAGAAACAAAGAAAGAAACAATAAAAAGAAACAAAGAAAGAAACAATGAAAGAAACAAAGAAAGAAACAACGAAAGAATCAAAGAGAGTAACAAAATAAGAAAAAAAGAAAGAAACAAAAGAAAGAAACAATGAAAGAAACAAAGAAAGAAACAACGAAAGAAACAAAGAAAGAAACAAAAGAAAGAATCAAAGAAAGTAAATAAAATAAGAAACCAAAAGAAAGAAACAAAGAAAGAAACAATGAAAGAAACAAAGAAAGAAACAATGAAAGAAACAAAGAAAGAAACAACGAAAGAATCAAAGAGAGTAACAAAATAAGAACCAAAGAAAGAAACAAAGAAACAATAAAAGAAACAAAGAAAGAAACAACGAAAGAATCAAAGAGAGTAACAAAATAAGAACCAAAGAAACGAAGAAACAATAAAAGAAACAAAGAAAGAAACAATGAAAGAAACAAAGAAAGAAACAACGAAAGAATCAAAGAGAGTAACAAAATAAGAACCAAAGAAAGAAACGAAGAAACAATAAAAGAAACAAAGAAAGAAACAATGAAAGAAACAAAGAAAGAAAAAACGAAAGAATCAAAGAGAAACAAAAATAAGAAAAGAAAGAAAGAAAACGAAGAAAAAATAAAAGAAAAAAAGAAAGAAACAACGAAAGAATCAAAGAGAGTAACAAAATAAGAAAACTAAAAAGAAAGAAACAAAGAAAGAAACAATGAAAGAAACAAAGAAAGAAACAATGAAAGAAACAAAGAAAGAAACAACGAAAGAATCAAAGAGAGTAACAAAATAAGAACCAAAGAAAGAAACAAAGAAAGAAACAATGAAAGAAACAAAGAAAGAAACAATGAAAGAAACAAAGAAAGAAACAACGAAAGAATCAAAGAGAGTAACAAAATAAGAAGAAATCAAACAAAGAAAACAATAAAAAAAAAAAGAAAGAAACAAATGAAAGAATCAAAGAGAGTAACAAAATAAGAACCAAAGAAAAAGAAAGAAATAATAAAAGAAACAAAGAAAGAAACAATGAAAGAAAACAAAGAAAGAAACAACGAAAGAATCAAAAGGAGTAAAAAAAATAAGAACCAAAAGAAAGAAACGAAGAAACAATAAAAGAAACAAAGAAAGAAACAATGAAAGAAACAAAGAAACAAACAACGAAAGAATCAAAGAGAGTAAATAAAATAAGAAAATCAAAGAAAGAAATGAAGAAAAACAATAAAAGAAACAAAGAAAGAAACAATGAAAGAAACAAAAAAAAAAAACGAAAGAATCAAAGAGAGTAAAAAAATAAGAACCAAAGAAAGAAACAAAGAAAGAAAACAATGAAAAAAAAAGAAAAGAAACAATGAAAGAAACAAAGAAAGAAACAACGAAAGAATCAAAGAGAGTAACAAAATAAGAACCAAAGAAAGAAACAAAGAAAGAAACAATGAAAGAAACAAAGAAAGAAACAATGAAAGAAACAAAGAAAGAAACAACGAAAGAATCAAAGAGAGTAACAAAATAAGAACCAAAGAAAGAAACGAAGAAACAATAAAAGAAACAAAGAAAGAAACAATGAAAGAAACAAAGAAAGAAACAACGAAAGAATCAAAGAGAGTAACAAAATAAGAACCAAAGAAAGAAACAAAGAAAGAAACAATGAAAGAAAGAGTGCAAGAAAATCCAGAAAAAAGACGCAAGAAGCAAAAGGTTAAACTTTTACGAATCTTCAAATGCAATTAGACTCTTTTTTCTGTTCATGGGAAATTTGAACGTAATTCGCGATTAAGCGTTCGTTTTAAAATTTGGTCTGTAAATTTTCGAAAGTAGGGCAAAGAAAACACAACAAAAAAACACATCTCTGAAAGATATAATGGAATCGAAGAATGCCAGGAACTGTAAAAGTAGGTGACAGTTATCTAAAAATACGGTAGGTAATTTGTGAAGAGGGGAATTAATAGAATGGTAAAAAAAAAAAAAAAAAAAAATGGCTGTTTAATTCTGCGAGCTATTTAGTAAACTTTTTATACCGAAAGACTGTCTGCGATTAATTTAAAGTCATATTGTTATTTAACTGAATCGGCCATAAAACTCAATAATTTTCGGTGCCTACTGTAAATCAATGGTTATTCTGTCACTAGAACAATGCTTTATATCTTTATGTTTCCCTGCAGGACGTGGGTGATTATGGTTCTTCCCAGCTTTCTTTCTTTTGTAAAAACGTCTGTTCTTCTATCTATTTACATAACACGTTAGGTAGATAGCTCGACGTTTCTCCCCACCCATCTTACATTCAATATGGTCTGTAAGTGTTAACCGTTCATCCTCCTTATGCGTTTCAAAAATTACAAAATGTCGCTTTTTGTTTCAAAGTACAAGTGTCCATATTAATTCCCGCTTTCTGTCAAACTGCCTTGTTGTTCACATATTCTGTTCATGTCATTTTAATTCTTTATATTTTTTGTATAGGGTACTGCAGAAGTACTTCCCACATATACCTCCTTAAAACACCTTTTACTATTATGTGGGCTGTATTTCTAGGAGGTATATGTGGAACATACTTCTACCGTACCCTGTATAAACATATATCTGTTGCCATATAGGAGGATTGATATTACATAGCCGTTCAACATTCCTTTTCCTGTTTCTTAATACTTTGCTTAGCTTTTAGAAGGCCTCTTTTGCTATCCCAATGCGCATTTTATTATTACAATTAATTTTCAACAAAATAAATTCTGTCCTTAAAATTGATAGTTAGTCCTTTCTTCTCGCTTTTCCTTTACTACTGTGTTTACGAATTCCTGTAAAAAAATTTTAACATCTGTCATCGACGTATTTTTTATTTATTTATTTTTAATTTAGTTTTTTATTTTTTATTTTAGTTTTTGTATTTTATTTTATTTTATTTTTTGCTAAAACTGTTCATCAATAATAAATCCCGGTAGGATTTCTAGTTCACTTAAGATCGCCTCTCTCAAAAGGTTGAGTAATCCGATATGGATATGAAGTCTTCTAATGCCTTTCCCAAATAAATAGTTTTCCTATCAGTTCAAGTATATGACATGATATACTATGGAACCCACCTGGGGCCCGTCAGGATACTGTAATCGAATTGTTCCACAAGGGGTGGGGGTGATCGGACCCACGACCATCATTCTGATTCAGAAGAAACAGTATGATGGTGTTACGTTCTTTCTTCCTTAAGTTGGCCATATGTTTTCACGCTAAGACGTCGAAGAATTCAGGGAATGAGGCCTCACAAAAAGAATGTACTTATTTGTGGTTATACAAAAGGGTGTCAAGAACACACGCACACACAGACACACACACACATACACACGTACACACACATGTATATATATATATGTGTGTGTGTGTGTGTGTGTGTGTGTGTGTGTGTGTGTGTGTGTGTGGATGTAATAGGCCGGTTCATTAAATTTGAGGTATAAAAAGCCAACAAAATGACAATCGGCAATGATACATGATGTATATTATATATTAGCTTTTTGACTAAATTCAAGCGCGAAGTGAAAGATTTTAAAATCAGAATTTTCGGACACGCCTGTGTCCTTTTTCAACGAGACAAGGAATAAACAAACAAATGAAAAGTACTCTTCCGTGTAATGTTGTCGTTCTTGGCTAGAGACCTCCCAAGTGTCTGCCAAAAATGTATAAACATTTCAGGAAAAGAAAAACTTGTACAGATATTGTAATACCAAATTTATTCAGACATCCCGAGATTACCTTTGGATTCTACAATAACAAGAGATGCCCGAATGATGGCCTTTAGCTACCAGTTATTTATTACTACGGCAAACGTTGGCCAAAATGTCTAGTGGTATTTCTGCAGATGCATTTTCGATTTCGTGTTTCAGGGTTGCCAATATAATGTCATCTGCCGTGAAAATATTGCACTACAGTAAATAGTGTTATCGCAATTTGATAAAACTACAAAAGACAAGTTTTTCCTTTCCTGAGGTGTGTATACGTTTTCGGCAGATTCTTTACAAAGCTCTTCAGTAAAATGAATTGGAGCCCTATGTCTGATTGGCGTTTGTTTACATTCGTAAAAACAGTACGCTAGAATTAGCTGTTTCTGCCGAATGTTGATAGCTCAGTGGTAGAAAATTAGACTCACACCAAATCGGTCGGGTTTCGGTCCTGGCTCGTGACATCCGGATGTCTAGTCGAACGGAGCAGCTGTGATATAGCGAAACAGTACTGTCTGCGAATGACATAAGTAAGCTCTTGAAAATATATTTCAAACGAGCACTGTTGAGAGATAGGCTGATTCTATAATCAACAGCCACCTGCGCTAATACAAAGTGAATGACGTTTGTTATATTCGCAATAAAAATAAGGTAGAATTAGTTGTTTCTCTATGCTGAATGGTGCTAGTTCAGTGTGGAAACTCTGACACCAAATCGGACGGGTTTCGGTCCTGGCTCGTGGCATTTGGATGTCTAGTCGTACTGAGGTGCTGTGATACCGCGAAACAGTACTCTCTGATAATATATATATATATATATATATATATATATATATATATATATATATATAAATAAAAAAGAAAGAACAGTAAGATATATAATCCGGTGTTCTTTTTTGAAACATGGTTAGAACTGTGTAGCGGAAAAACCATATTTTAAATCAATTAATTTATAATATATATATATATATATATATATATATATATATATATATATATATATATATATTATGAAAAACTAGGTAATCCGTATGGCTAAAACCTAAGGAGGATAAAATCCAGAGAGCTCAATATAAATTCAGAGCAAATAATTTAAATAAAAACAGACCACTTTAAGGTTCCATGTAATAAATTATTTCACCACAGTCCTTTTAAAAGACTGCGGATCATCAGACTTTACTTCCAAACAAAAAACCGTTGTGGCGAAATAATCTATTACATGGAACCTTAAAGTGGTCTGTTTTTATTTAAATTATATATATATATAATTGTGTATATAAGTAGCGCCTTTAACCATTATTAAGGTCGATTTTTTTTTATTTCATTTTAACCGAATGCGTAGATTTTTATTTATGCATCTAGAGTTATGGGAATATATTTTATTTATTTTACAAGTTACAGAAAATACAATAACAGGTTCATTCACTTGGAAATAAACGCTAAAGTAATGGAAGCATTGTTAATGAAAAAGAAATAGCCAACACTCAATAACATCAAAATGTTTTGACAGTGTTTGGAAAATAAAAAATAATAATTCCCATAACTCTAGATACAGACATAAAAAAAACTACACATTCTGTTAAAAATAAAAATATCCTTGATAATGGCTAAAAGAATAGCCGAAAGCGCTTGGACATAAGACACACACACACACACACACACACACACACATATATATATATATATATATATATATATATATATATATATATATGGAGAGAGAGAGAGATTGTTTACTTTAGTATTGTGTTGACCTCTTTTTGACCGTATTTACTTAATTGCTTTTATAGGAATGGCTCTTTTGTTATATTGAGTTGACCTCTTTTTTCGTGTTGATATATGTGCCAACTTGTTTTGTACATTTTTACATCGTGGTTAAGCCTGCGCGAATGTGTATGTTTGATGTTTGTGTATATGTGTGTTTTAGTGTGTGCATTGATGTTTGTGTTTGTGCAGATGTGTGTGTGTGTGTGTGTGTGTGTGTGTGTGTGTGTGTGTGTGTATATTCTTTTTTTCGTCTAACTTTTGTTTGGGTGTGATTGAGTATAAACTGTAAGTTTCTGTATCGGTATTTGAGTAACACAGTAGGTATTTATTTAAATGTCTACATTTCCTCATTATTTCGTTTTTCTTATTTAATAATTTGCTTTGATTTTTTTTAAGGTAACTATTGTTAATTTCTCTTTAGGCGTAGTTTGCAGATTCTGCTATTGTTATTGTGCGGGGTTGATCTTTTTATAATTTCTCATTTAATTTTGGTAGAGATTTTCTTTTCTTTTTGACTCCATATATACTTTGAGAACGATGTGTTGTTTTTGTATCTTTCTGTTTTGAATGATGTTTTATGATTGTTAAATCTTTCTTTGAAGATTGTTTCTGTGGCTCCTATCTATGTTTTTTCCACCTGTGCTGATGTTTGTTATGATGACTTTATATATTATATTGTTGGTTAGACATTTATTGTTAAGGGAATAGTTGTCATTGTTTCGACAATTGCATTTATTGATGGTGTTTTGTTGGTTTGCGTTGCTGTTGTAAGCATTGGCTTGTTGAGTATTTTTTATTGTGTTTAATTATTATTTCTCCTTGTTATTCATCCAGCTGGAGCTAATTTTGATTGAATATTTTTTTATGATTTTTGATTGTCTATTCTTTTCAGGGAAGTGTTTTTCAATTATATTGAAGAATAATTTTCCTAATTTTGTTTTTATTGTATTTATTCTATGGTGGGTTAAACCAGATTATATTTCTTTTTCTGTTGGTTTTGTTTGGTTTGGTTTCGTTTGTGTATTCCAGTTTGTTGACTAACAACAAACCTACATAGACACATGTCTAACCACGATGTAAGAACAAGCGTAGACGCATAAACACGAAAAAAGTCAACTCATTATAACAAAAGAACAAATTCTATAAAAAGCAATGAAACAAATAGGGACCAAGCAAACAATAACCAAGAAACCGCTCATTACTTAAGTGATAAAACAGCAACCATACAAAGATATCAAATTACATCAAACCATACGACAAAATTGAGAAGTAGCAAGAGAGAAGACAACAGCCAAAGGCAAACCAAACCTCTGAGTTTGAAATACACCGCTTTTCGACATCTCTGCATTCGGGCAAGGAGAAACCCAGATGTTACTGCGCCGAAAGGCAGAGTCTCGTCTGGGGAGGTAGATGGGTCGACGGGGAATCTAACCCTAACCAAAACACAACTTAATACTATATATATATATATATATATATATATATATATACAAGTATATAATTGGTGTATACGGAATGAATTCCAATAACCAACAATTACTATTCTTAAAAGAGTGCTCAATACAAAGTAGATATAATTATTATTTAGAAAAAAATTATAACAAAAATATGTTATAAAATCACTACAAAAGTAGCCATTTTGTTTCAACATCCGCGGTGTCTTATCGAGGGTGTTGAAACAAAAAGGCTATTTTTGTAGTGATTTTATAACATATTTATGTTATAATTTTTTTTTATGAATAATTATATATATATATATATATATATATTGAACAATGAAAAAAAATATAAAAAATCGTTAGACACACTGGGTTGTAGATTAATATTCTTTCGTTTTTTTTTTTTTTTTTTTTATTATTTCATTTAGATTCCTCGACTAGTTTCGGACAACATGACGATCATCGGGAGGAGAAATATTTCTGCTTGCTGGTAGCAGTAAACTACAGAAATGTATCTTTTGCTGGAGAAAATGAACTTTTGTCTGTAGTTTTCATTTGTTTTTTTAATTTTTTTGTCTTCTGACATGAATCTTTTAATAATCCTTGTGTTGGTCAAACAGTCTCTTTTAAGTTGTTATTTGAGATAAGAGCTGGATGGATCTATGCTTCTCTGAATTCCCTTGGTCAGTTTGACAGTTTTATTGGTCCTGGAGAGGGGATGTGTCTCTGTTTAGTGTTTGTGTGTGTGTTATTTGGTTCTTGGGGAGTGAGTGAGTATGATATGTGTGCGTGTGTATTGCTGTGGGTGTGTGTTATCATTTGGCTCATTAGGGAGTGAGTGAGTATGATGTGTGTAAGTGTGTATTATTCGTGTGGGTGTGTGTATAAGTGTATAAGTGTGAGGCCTCCACACCGCTGTAAGCATGTCTGTGTGGGTGAGAAATGTGGGTAGGTTTTGATTTGTTGATTTATATATTGGTACTACAGTGTAACCCGGATATAAGAGACCCGGATATAAGAGAAACCCGGATATAAGAGAGATTTTCTGTGGTACCAAATTAGAGCCTGTGTTAATGTATTTAAAATAGACCAAACCCGGATATAAGAGAAACCCGGATATAAGAGACTTCTTCTCCGGTCCCGACAACTCTCTTACATCCGGGTTACGCTGTATCTGTATTGTTAAATTTATGATTTAGCCCGGCTGGATATTTTGTTTTTAGACTTTGTATCCACTTATTTTGATGGCACTCTAAAATCTTTCTAATGTTATCTGCTCTGAACTTATATATATATATATATATATATATATATATATATATATATATATTATTTATTTACATTATTCGGACTATTGTCCCAATCTTTGTCGCCATATTTAACACAACGTTTCGGCCGTTGTACGCTCCGGCCTTCTTCAGGTGGTTGGAATTTCGAACTGAACCCTTTATTTCGCTCACTGGGTAGACTGTTCGAGAGTCTGCAATAGGGATTTGCTAGCCGCATTAGTAGATGGGTATTCTCGAATACGAGTGGCCAGCTATTATATGTGTGTGTACGCGCGCGTGTGTGCGTGTGTGTGGTGGAAGTCAAGATGGATACAAATTAAACAAAAGAGGAAGAAATTAAAAAGTAGAATAATTAAAGCCAATAAGGAGGGAGTTTAAAGTAAAAAAAAAAAAACAACGAAAAGGACAAATAACGTACGTACATGAAAAGAAAGAAAGAATAAAATCTAAGAAAAGAAAAAATGAACAAAGAAAAAATAAATGGACGAAAGAGAAAGGGAAAATAACAAAGAATAATTTGAGACAGTTAAAAGAAATACAAAAACGCAAAGACTTGAAAAGAAAGAAAGAAAGAAAATAACAAATAAGTGATGAGAAGAGTAAGTGATGGAAGAATACACGAGGAGAAAGAAAGAAAGAAAGAAAGAAAGAAAATAACAAATAAGTGATGAGAAGAGTAAGTGATGGAAGAATACACGAGGAGAAAGAAAGAAAGAAAGAAAGAAAGAAAGAAAATAACAAATAAGTGATGAGAAGAGTAAGTGATGGAAGAATACACGAGGAGAAAGAAAGAAAGAAAGAAAGAAAGAAAGAAAGAAAGAAAGAAAGAAAGAAAGAAAATAACAAATAAGTGATGAGAAAGAAAGAGTAAATAAGTGATGGAAGAATACAAGAATACGAGGAGAAAGAAAGAAAGAAAGAAAGAAAAGAAAGAAAGAAAGAAAATAATAAATAAGTGATGAGAAGAGTAATTGATGAAAGAATACACGAGGAGAAAGAAAGAAAGAAAGAAAGAAAGAAAGAAAGAAAGAAAGAAAGAAAGAAAAAGAGGCAAACAATCAAAAATCAAACAAATAAAAAAGAAACAAAAAGACAAAAAAGAAGACAAACGTGGACCTTCATGCCTGGAAGAAGACTGGTTGTCAAAAGGACATTTTTTTTCCTTGACACCGCTATTATCTTAACAAACTTCTCTCTGCCGCAATGTTTGGTTTAAAATGCGATAATTAGAAAAAAAAATTATAATTTCATTTTGATTTTATGTTCAGGTTTCATTAAAATTCTAATCATCGCGTTTTACAACAATAAATATTGCCAAGGTGTTGAGGTAGTTAAAATAATAGCGGTGTCAACGGAAAAACTATTTTGGCAACTGGGTCGATAGTCCAATATTGCCAAAACGATGTTAAAGAAAGAAAGAAAGAAATGAAAAAAGAAACGCACGAAAGAGAATGAAGGGAAAAGTATGAAAATAAAGAAAGGGAAAAGTAAAAGAGATAAAACTGACAAAGTTATAGAAAGAAAGAAAACTGTAATAGAAATAATAAAGAATACGATAAAAGAAAAAGCAACGAAAGAAAAAAAAAGAAAGAAAGAGAGAAAGAAAGAAAGAAGCATGCATAAAAAGAAATCAGAAAGAAAGAAAAGAAAAACTAAGAAAGCTGAAATAAAAAAGTATGTTATAGAATGAAAGAAAGAAATAAAGAATCAAACAAAGAAACAAGTAAACATAGATTGAAACCAAAAAGAAACAAAGGATAAACAAAGACAGTTTAAAGAAGAGTTTATAGAAAAAAAAAAGAAATAATAAAAGAAATTACCAAACAATAAAAGAAATAAAAAAGAAAGAAATGAAAAACTTCGAGAGTCAAAAAAGGACGTTATAGAAAGAAAGAAAGAAAGAAAGAAAGAAAGAAAGAAAGAAGCAAACATAAAAAGATTCCAAAAGAAACGATGGGAAAAATAAGACAGTTAAAAGAAAAAGACGTTGTAGGAAGGAAGGAAAAAAGGAAAAAAGAAGGGGGGTAAGAAAGAAAGCAAGAAAAAAACAAAAAAAAAAAATGAAAAATCAACAGAAGGAAAACTAAGACAGTTAAAATGAAAAGACGTTGTTGAAAGAAAGAAAAAAAACAAAAAAAAAAGATGCCAAAAAAGAAAAGAAAAAGGAAAACTAAAAAAGTTAAAAAAAGAAAAGACGTTGTAAAAGAAAGAAAAGGAAGGAAGAAAGAAAGAAAAAGAAAGAAAGAAAGAAAGAAAGAAAGAAGCAAACATAAAAAGATACCAAAAGAAACGAAGGGAAAACTAAGACAGTTAAAAGAAAAAGACGTCGTAGAAAGAAAGAAAGAAAGAAAGAAAGAAAGAAAGAAAGAAAGAAAGAAAGAGAAAGTAAATTTTAAAAGGAACAAAACGGAAAGAAAGAAAAAAGAAAAAAAAGGAAGTCAATACAGGAAGTTGACACAAAATATAAAATATAAATTAATAGGAAAAAATGAAGGAAAACTTATAAATATGAAAGGGAAGATAAAATGAAAATAAAAAAACGAAATTAAAAAATAAGAAAAAAAAACTAAAATAGAGACAAGAATATAAAAACACAATGGAAGAGAAAATATAATTAAAATAAACTATTTAAAAAAAAATAATGATTAAATAGAGAAGAGTGGAAATTCAACTTTGGACAAGATGAGATTCTCTAAAGGCCAATTATTTGATTTAATCATTTGGCAATTGAAAAATGAAAACCGAACAAAACAAATGCAATCGAGGAAAAGAAAAAAAGAAAATGCTGTAGTTTTCATTATTGCCATTGGTATTAAATTCAGATCAGGGCTCGGTCATTGGCAGGCCCCTTCCAAAATGACACGCTCTTTAAGCTAGAGCTTTTCATTTTGATTTATGGATATCCTTTCCACACGCCATCAGCTTCTGTGTTAGTCTTTTTTCTCTACGACATTAATCAACACGCCATTTCCTCTTCGTCTCCTCGACATTTTCCGTCCAATGAAACTTTCTGCTCGATTTTGGCCCTGCGCCATTTCAATCTATTTCTGTGCGTCCCTCTTACTCACTATGAACCTTCAAAGATGTCTATCATGAAAAATTAAGACGGCGGGAGACATAAAATTAAAACGCTTCGAATTTAGATTATCAAATTACCGTCCGCAGAAAATTATTTTTTTGAGCCAGAAAGAAAATTTACATGATGTTTCAAGACTTTAGTTGACTACGAAGCCAAACCAAATGCAGGTAAATAAATATATATAAATAAAACTTTATCGTCAATCGTCTGAGACAAAAGCTTATTCCAGATTGTTTTAATTTTATAATTCTTTCTTTCTTTTATTCTTTCTTTGCTTCTTTCTTTTTATAACTTGCTTTTTTTTTTTTAACTTAGCTTTTCCTTTGTTTGTTTTTGGTTGTTTTTATATTTGCTTCTTTTTTTTTTTTCTTTCTTTCTTTCTTTTTTCTTTCTTGTATTCTTTCTTTCAGTGTTTCTTTCTTTCTTTAACTTCATTTTTTTCCTTTTAACTATCTTAGTATTTTCTTTGTTTTTGTTTTCTTTTTATGTTTCCTCGTTTCTTTCTTTCATTCTTTCTTTCTTTCTTTTTTCCATTTTTTCTTTCTTTCTAAAACTTCGTTTTTATTTTAATTGTCTTAGTTTTTCCTATGTTTCTGTTTGGTTTCTTTTGATGTTTGCTTCTTTCTTTCTTCTTTTCTTTATTTCATTATTTCTTTCTTTCTTCATTTATTTATTTTATTCTTTCTTTCTTTCTTTCTTTTTTATAATTTCTTTTTCTTTAAACTGTTTTAGCTTTTCATTTGTTTTTACTTTCTTTTTATGCTTTTCTTTCTTTATTTCGTTCTCTCTTTCTATAACGTCTTTTTTTTTTTCTTTTAACCGTCTTATTTTTTCTTTATTTCTTTTTGGTTTCTTTTTGTTTTCATTTTTCTTTCTATCATTCATTCATTCATTCATTCTCTCTTTCTTTTATTCTTTCTTTCTCTAACATCCTTGTTTTCTTTTAATTGTATTTTTCTTTGTTTTTTTGTTATGTTTTATTTTGTTTTTTTGTTTTCTTTTCATGTTTTCTTCTTTTTTCATTCTTTCTTTGACTTTTATTCATTCTTCCTTTCTATAACGTTTTTTCTTCTTTCAACTGTCTTAGTTTATCATATTTTTTTCTTTTTTTTTCTTTTTTGTTTGTTTCTTTCTTTCTTTCATTCTTTCATTATTTCTTGCTAGCTCGTACATTCATGAGGTCTATCAGGCAAAAACCATCAGGGTTCTGCATGAAGATCGAAAGTTTGACTGGGAGACATTTTGTGTCATAACATGGCTGATCAATGTAGGTGATTCTTGGGCGACTAACTCGTCTTGCTCCATGGCTAGGTGTCCAGAACAGTAGATCACAAGCGAGTTCTTGTTTTGCGCGTAAGGAGGCACGGTGGAGTAATGGATATCGGCTTGGATTGAGGAATCGGAGAGCCGAGTTCGAATTCCAGTCGAATCCATTACATTCACTTACGTACTAATACCCTTGGGAAAGGTGTGAATCCTCTTCATCTTCCCTCAGATAGGGGTAAATAGCAGGACAGACTGGGTTCTATAGATTTGGATGGCAACTGGTCTAGGAGAAGGAAAACTCTGAATTCAAAACCTGCGGAGGGTCGTTTGGGGATCTTGTGGCACGTAGTGCACCAGGTCTCTGTAATCGGCCCTTCGAAAAGTGCGGATGATCCTGCACGAAACCTTCACCACTCTAATCAAATCTCATGTGCTATACATGCGGGTTGGGGACCGCTTGTGAATTCCAAATTCCCATGAAACTCCAATATTGGAGCCGGCTCAACCCACCCCGGGGGAATGCCGTTACCAGAAGACAAGAAGAGTACTAGAAAGCGTATTTTGCGTTCGTGAAAGATTTTAGAAATATCAGGGATGGGTCCATGGAGCTGGGATTTAATTGGATGTTGTCTCCAAGAGATGTCAACTATAGCTATCATCATCCAAGTGTAGGTTTTATCAAGCTTATGATCAAGGATTTTTGTAATTTTCAAACAGTGGCATCATACATTGAAACCGTCGCTACAGTTGAGCGAAAGAATCTTCATTTAGTTTATCATATAGATCCAATTTACAAATGAACACACACACACACACACACATATATATATATATATATATATATATATATATATATATATATATATATAGATGAATAGATAGATAGATAGATAGATAGATAGATAGATAGATAGATATGCATGTTTCATTAAAAACGACCCGAATAAAACAATCAAATTAATTATCTACTATAAAAAATTAAAGACAGCCAACCTTATTCTCAAAAATAACACGCCAGCTAAGTCAAAATTACAACGAACGAACATTATCGATAAGTTCAAATTCCCCTTAGGGAACTGTGTTCCTGATCAAACCGGACTCATAAATAATTACATCGGTCATACAACTACATGCCTATCTCGATGCCTTACATTACACCTATCTGATCACAGCTCCATTAGAAACTATTTAAACACACACAAAAGCCTACCAGACGCCATTCAAAATATACTAGTAAAAAAGACAAACATAATAATCTCATCCACCTGTTAAAAAAAAGATAAAAAATAATAATGGAAGCTCTAATAATAAAAAAGAAAAAGCCAACCCTTAAAAATATTAACTACGAACACGGCCACAATGTGCTAACCGTATTCGGAATATAAAACATCTCCATAACACATAACTAAAAAAGTACACACAACGTACACACCCAATTAAACTGAAAAAATAAACTCGTCCTTGATAATGGCTAGAAGTATAGCCGAAAGCGCTCGGAATTACAGAACGTTTGTACTGTTTCTACACACACTGTGTCCCAAAAAGAATGCTCTTGTGCGAACACAAGGAAAATTAGATAAAAAGAGCAATTGTTTTCTTTAAACAATTGCTCTCGACGTTACCATAGAAATTTTGATTTCAGTAATGAATATGCTTATAAAACGCGTAAACTTCAGAAATAAGTTATTCCAAAATAAATTTCGCTTGAAGATGGAACATAGCTTAGTACTTTAATTCAATTTAATTCAAATAATTATATTGAAGTTTCCGGCTCTTGTTTTGAAACATGAGAACTCTTATGTAGCGTGTTGGAATCATATTTTTAAATAAATAATTATATTTATGCTCTACTTTTGTATCGAGCACTATTTTTTTAAAATAATGACAAAAATACTAAAGAACTTTGGATTATTAACCTAACGAGTTCTTTCCTATTTTCTATATATTTTCACACACACACACACACACACACACACACATATATATATATATATATATATATATATATATATATATATATCGAAAAACAATGGTAGTTAGTTGGATACAACTCCAGTGAAGCTGGTAATAAGAAGTGCCCAGTACGAAGTAGATTATATAAAATTGCAATAAAAGTACAGAATAAAAAGAAAAAAATAGGTCCCCTAAGTTTCACCAAGGAAACGAAGGATCCTCAGACCAGGTTCAAATGTTAGTCTTATTATGATTTTTTTTTTGGTCTAAAATATTGGGAGGGAATCATTTTTCTCTCCACCTTCACCGGAAGTGGATCTCATCCAGGTTCCATATTGGAAATTAGAAAAACTTTAGTCATAATCCCGGCCCTCCTACTTAATATACAACGCATATCTGCAAACATCAAAATTCCAAGCTTCACAACCTCGAGCAACGAACAAAATTTATCCCTCGCCACCAACCATGTAACCTACTTTTTTTCGCTATATTCCAGATTATATTTCGATTAGAGTTCATTTCTTCTTTTATTTTCCAAATATATTTCGACAGGACAATACTATGCAATATTTGCTTAACCTGAAATATGTTATATGGTTCTAGTACCTCATTTGGAATGCGTCCTCGATCGATC